TAATTTATGGGAAAATCTTAAGAGACTTTTTACGGCCTTCAATTTCCTTCGAAAATACATATATGCCCCTCACGTTGAGCTATAAACGATTGACGATATTTGAAAATTGAAACAGTTTTGTCCTATGTTATTAATGCACACATCGACGCCTCCAAACTATACCATGCTAAGTCACCTTAGACTTAGTCAGACTTAAGAAAACAGAAATTCGCGATGAGGACTGCGCTTTGACAGGCGTCTTTTTTCACTGTCCCGAAAATATTTCGCACCGGATTTTGAAAAAATATAGTCTATTTTTTTTGAAACTTTTTGCCAAAATCTCTGAGCATGCTTTTGCGCCTGCCATAAAAACCATTTGCTCTCCAGAGGTGGCGTAAAAAGAAGGCACATCCTAGGAAAGAGGTGAGCGCCAAATATTTATTTATTTATTGGTGATTGACCATAATCTCCATGTAGTGCACGATATGCGGCCACTGAAGATTTCGCAGTTTGGTAGAATAATATTATAATAATTTTAACGCATTGGTCGGTGGAAACACACATTACTTTTTATTGTGAAATGACGCGAAATGGATAACACGTTATTAGAAATGTAGTAAATAACAATAAAAAAACGCGTTTCGGTAGAAGAGAAAATCATTTGGAGGGCCCTCGATATATATGTATATACATTAGGGTTGTTCAAAAATGCATGTGAAAAAGTAAAGTCGGAATTTTAATGCTCTCACCCCTTAGGATTGTTCCATTTAGGGTTTGTAGTGGTCCTGTAAAAATAGCCTATAATAGAAAATGGTTAAATAAACAATTGGGTATTGTTATTGGAAGTCTCCTTAAGGAGAAACAAAGTGTTCCGATCGAAAAATATTGATTTTCAGGAATTCCATGCCATTTCTACGAAAATTCCCATGTAAAATACCTAGAAAACTTGAAGCGCTTTGCGCGACCACTAAATATTTTTTGAACAATCATCTTAAGGGATGAGAGCATTAATATAACGACATTACTTTTTTCTTGACCACCCTAATATACATACATAAAAATGTACATTAACGTATGCGTGCTTGTTGAAATGTGTTTTTATAGGCTCTAAATATGCCATTCATTCGAGCAGGGATTTTACCATTAACCACAAAGTAATAAAAACTACTAAATAGCAAAAAATGGTTTAAGCCATTCAAAGTAAATAAAAACGCTCGAGATCAAAGTGGAGGAGGGGGCAGTGTGTGAAAGCCTTCATTGCAGCGATACTTGCTTGCTTAAGTAAAAACACGTAACAGGTCATTTAACGAAATTAGGCTACTTTACAAAAATAAAATAAGAATTATTAGTCCCAGACAATTTGTAAGTTTGTACGGATGTGTTAATCAGATCTGGTACCGAAAAATTCAAAAATTTGGCACTGAGGTTCAAATATTCAAGCCACTTGACTAAAGGGTAACGAAGGCATCTACCCATTTTTATTTGCGTATGTAAATATGTAGTACGTATGTATATATCAGTAAGGGTATACACATTTAAATTTATGGCAGTTCGAAAGGACAGTGTGGATAGAAAAATATATACATATACAACTGTAGGCAAAAGTATACAAACAATTCAAAGTAAAA